TAGCAGGCAAAGAACGAGACGTCCAAACGAATTAGGCAATGGAGATTAACGTTCCAAACTTGAATGTGGAAGAGCTGGCGGCGTACGCTGCTGCCAAGAACCAGGCAGGAGTATTAGATGAAGAGATCCTGCGCGAAATTACACAAATGCTTAGAGAGGACGGATGGAAGGAGGCAGCAATCAGGCCAACGATTGAAGCGGTCGCCAAACGATCGGCCGTCGTGGGAGGAAAGGGCTCACCAAGGCAAGGAGGCTCGCCGAAGGCCAACCAGGATGCCATGGCCTAGATGATGGAGCTGATGAATCGGTTAACAGCCCAGAACCAGGTGCTAACGGAACGGCTCGTGGCACTCGAGCGTGACCAAGCTGAGGGGCGTTCAGAGTCGTCCCATAGAGCCTTCACGCCTCCCCTAGCAGCAGCCGCAATCGCCGAGCTAGCTGCGCGCAGGAACAAGTTCCCGCACCTAGAACCATTTAATGGAGATCGAACGAAGTACGTAGCGTTTAAATACAAGACTTAAGCTAAGCTCCAGCACGAGTACGAAGGAACTTCGAGCCTCGCTCAGATCAAGTACGTGGTTAGTAGGTGTACGGGCAAGGCAGCGGATGTACTTCTACCCTAGGCAATACAGAACCAGAGTAAACGCCACATTGAAGACCTCTAGAGCTTTATGGACCAGCAGTTTGACGACCCACACCAGAAGTCCAAAGCACTCGATCGCCTTTTAACTCTTAAACAAGGCAAGCTCTCAGTAAGAGACTATTACATGGAGTTTAACCGTCTTGAGATTCAGTTAGGCGAGCAGTTTAGCGAAGCAGCTAAGAAGAGTATGTTCTTAAAGGGCCTTCACACTAAGCTGCAGGAGGCTCTTGCTACGATTGATGAGAATCTATCGTACGAGCAGCTAGTCAATAAGGCAGTAAGAACGTCCGACAACCTCTACCGGGTAGGTCTCGTTAAACTGCGCGCAACGAGCTCCCGGGTGGTAGATCGCCCTACTACGACAACCACTCAACACAAAGCTAGTCCAGACGTTATAGACTAGGAGCCTTCGAAGGTTAATCAGGCGCAAGAAGCTAGAGGCAAGCCACGACGACCTCCGCCCAACTGCTATCGCTGCGGAGAGCTAGGTCATATCGCGAAATACTGTCGAAACGCCACCTAGGTCAAGAAGGCAAGGCCCGCGCCAAGCAACGTTGGACATAAGCCGCAGGAGGAAGTCGATCAGGTGCCGAGTAGCGACTCGGAAAAAGAGTAGCTCTGGGCCAGAGTCTCGGCCCAGAGCCTCTGAAGATGGATTGGCAGATACGTAGCGAATGGAATCAGTTTTAGCAGAAGCATATGCGTCCCCCACTAATTACTGTAGATCTTATCGTGAACAACGTAGCAAACGCTGTCGCGCTTATAGACTGCGGATGCCTATGCTATGCACTAATTAGCAAGAGATTCGCTTACCGCCACCGTCTAGAGCGCTTTCAGATCCCCTCTTGGATGATTAAGGGAGTGAACGGCAAGCTATTAGAGATTAGCGAGGTCGCCCAATTCTCGTTCAAGATGCATAGGTACGAAGAGACTGCTTATGCATACGTGATAGACTTATCCTCTAGTAAGGACGTGTACCTTGGCAGGGGATGGATGGACCACTAGGACGTATCAGTATCTCCTG